TCTCTAACTTTGAGGACTGGTGCAGCTTATTCTGATTTGATAACCTGCTGGAGTCTGTGGGGGCCAGAGGTTCGAGTCTTATTCTGCAGGAACGTGACTTAACCACTGCATTGGAGGCGGCCAGGTGCTGATACTTATCGAACCGAACGCTCTTGTCCGAGCGTCCCTGTCTCTCTTTTACAACCGTCTGGGCGTGAGCAGAGATCAGAACAACATTGGAGAATGAAGTGCCAGCCGGAGGAGAGCGTCTACGTCTCCAAATAAGTCACCCTGGTGGAGGCCACGCTTCTCAACATATGGTCCCACCTGCGGAGAGGCAAACTACTTGTGGAGCATCACACCAACAATAACCAGAGAGGCACCAGCCAGAACGACAACCCTTGCAACTTCATCAGGGATAAAGGGCAAGCCTGTCCGTCTCTGCTTCAAATGCAATAAAGTAGGCACATCAGTTTCCAACTGCCCCAAAACCCTCAACCCATCGGAAATTCTCTAATAATCCCTAGTAACAGGTCCCCTAGAGAAGTAGAAAAAGGTAGGCCCCTTATTATTGCGAAAGTCTTATGTTCCCTTCAGGAAAACTCAGAACCTACTAAAGTAAATACCTTTAGAGATACTGGAGCATATGCTCACTTCAGAGAAGGAATATTACTCACCTTTCAGAGAATACATCCTATGAATTCCTCAATTTTTATTGGAAGCTAACGAGGAACATATATTCATTTCCTTTGCATAAATATATGTACAGTGCAAATATTACACTGGGTACTTGACCTGTAGGTATCTCAAAAAGATTTCCCATGAAAAATGCCATGTTATTACTGGTGAATAACATTACTACTGTTCCTTCGTGTCCTGAACCTATAATGATAAATGCATCCCAGTGTTGGCCATAACTCGGGCAACATCCCAAGGGTTGTCCTGGGGAGAAATGTTGACACTACTATCCTTGGACGACTCCGATCTCGGAAAGCCACGTAGTTTTTATGAACACGACACACCGGCCAGGAAAGAGTCTCAAAATCAAGTGAACAGACCCCTTCAAGCCTTCCTATTCCCAATGTTTTGCAGGATTCCCAGATTCTCTGTTTCCCATGCCCGAGGGCCTGTCCTTCCGGGAGGAACAACGAAAGGACCCTTCTTTAAAATCGCTTTTGAGCGAAGCCATGGGTAAATCCTACTTTGGGTCATCCAGTCAATGTAATGAAGTTTAAAAATGATTATTTGGTATGCACTGAGACTGGTAAGGAGATATAGAGGGCCGGCAATTCATACACAGGTTAGTGGTTCCAACAAGTAATAGACCTCAATATTAAAAATACTCATAATACGTCATTAGCAGGTCACTTAGGAATTACAAAAACCTTGTGAAAGAATCACAAAAGAATTTAATTGGCCAAAATTAAAAAAGATTATTGTTGCTCTGCACCCATTCTCCTGTCTCCAGACTTCTCCAAACCTTTTTCATTACAGGTTGATGGCTTGTGATCTGGTTGGGCGGTACTATTACAAATCGGGAACAAGAGCTGCAGCCAATCGCATACTTTTCAGCTAAGTTCCAGCCACAAACAGAGAGCTTTAACTCTACCATTGAAAAGAAGCCCTCGCGCCTGGTACTGGCTTGGAGCATATCGATTTTTATGTGGGCCAGTACATCGCAGGTGGAGCACCAGTCTACAGTGATCATAACCCGTAAGTCTATCTCCAAGCCATGAAAGAATCACACACAAGTCTTATGCTTTGGACGCTCATGCTGCAGCCCTACAAAATCAAAATAAATGTACAGTGCCGACAAAGAAAATGTGTTTGGCAGACCTTTGTCAGAGTCTATTTAATATTTTATTTAGGTTAGGATGTATTTTTGGAAACCCCCCTTTTCAAGCTCTTTTTTTTTTTACCCCTGATGAGGGGGTTTTTTTTTAAGGAGGGGATAGGGCTACCGTCCCTTGTATCTGGACCTATGCTGGCCTATCTGCCTGCTGTCTCACTTCCGAGTTTAGGGTTTTGGCTTTTGTCACATGAAAGCTGAGCTCTATCTATAGAGTGGATGGTGGAGAGGATAGGCGTCTAGCCATTAATTTGTGCCATGGCGGCACGGTACCACGGGATGTGGCAGCCAATCCGGAGCCTTCTCGGGTGGGGGGTGTGCATGCAAAGAGTACGTACCCTTTATTCGGCGCATGACACACCCCTCATTTACCAGGCTAATCCTCCCCCAACCAGCGAACCAGGTTTGCTAAGAGAGATGATGATGGGGCCCCATCGTTCAACTAGTGACGCAGGTTATAGCCAATAATAAGGTGGGATGACAATCTCAGAGGTTATGTGGATACCGCCTCCTGTCTTCCCTTGTCATTCCACTCTAGAGCTGGTTGAAGCACGGTCTGCTATCTTGTGCTTCCTATTTCTGCCTTTCTTACCGTGGAGTGCACTATATTTTATCACTGTACATAGTGTAACAAATTGCTGTTATAATTGGTGACGGATAATATAAGTCTAAACTATTTCTGCTCGTTTTATTTGCTCCCATTACACCTGGGATAACAGCCCGTTTGAAATCCTAGGTTGTAATAGTGGTGTGTGATGGTGTTGGTAGTGGTAGTGGTTGGTGATGGTATGTGGTAGTGGAGGTGATGGTGTTGGTAGTGGTGATGGAGTTGTAGTGGCATGGTGTGATGGTTTGGTGGTTGTGGTGGGTGATTGTGTTGGTAGTGGTGGTGATGGAGTGTGGTAGTGGTGGTGTTGGGGATGGTGTTGGTGGTGTGTGGTTATGGTGTTGGTAGTGGTAGTGGTGTGATAGAGTTGTAGTTGGTGGTGATTGTGTTGGTAGTGGTAGTGAGGTGGTGGAGATGTGTTTGGTAGTGGTAGTGGTGGTGGTGTGATGGTGTTGGTAGTGGAAGTGGTGGTGAGTGTGTTGGTAGTGGTGGTGGTGGTGATGGTGTGGTAGTGTATGTGTTGGTGTGATGGTGTTGGTATGTTAAACTAAAACCTAAGTTGTACCTCAAAAACTGAATAACACTTAACTAGGTCTTTCCACTTGGTTTCAATTTTGGACATTTTTCGACTGCATTTACAAAAAAAAAATCACTATTAAGAGAGCTTTGTAAGCGAACTTGCTATATATTATATATTGATTTACCCTGTCTTTGACCTTATGCTATAAAAACATGATAAACTCTTTTCTATAAGTTCGTTGGGACACGCCAGAAAATCATCTATGGTAACTAAACAGGAAGCCGCGCTTTTCTTACACACATTTTTATCTCCATAGTAAATCTTTTGGATTTAATGTCGATCTAACATGAAGGACTTTAATGCAAATAAATCACCCCTTTGTTATACATATTAAGAGTTGTATGTCTTTCATTATATACGGTGGCTCGTGGCCTGGTGGCAAAAGCTCTCCGGGTTCGATTCCCAGCAAGGGTAAAAACATTGTTGTGTTTTGCTCACACCGGTTTGTTTTAATGTTCACCCAGCAGTAAAATAGTACCTGGATGTTAGTCGACTGGTGTGGGTCGCATCCTGGGACAAAACTGACCTAATTTGCCCGAAATGCTCAGCATAACAAGGGGCTTTCTATATAGTAGTATGTCATTGATGTCAGCTATGGTCTGTATACATGTACATGTACTTGTAGAAATAAAGATATTATTATTATTATTATTATTATTATTATTATTAACATTATATACGCTAAGTTTCCTATCAGCGTATATAATTTAAGTAAATCTTGACTGGGGTGAAACAAGTGTCATGCGCAGGCCTTAGTGAGCCTCGTGCAGTTGATTATTTTAAACCCACCATATAAAACCGTCCATAAACCACGTGACAATAAAGGTTAAACACACACAGAGAGGTGTATGGTGTCATCTTATATTCATAATCCCTACTTTAGATTTATAACATTCGTGCTGTTCTGATGAAAGAAATATACCCAGTCTTATTTACTGATCACAAGTGTAATCGATAATCTTAATTACAATTAACTATACAAGAGTACATGGACTTCAGTGTAGTGTTCAGATAACTCCTAGCGATACTATATGTACTTTAATAGTCTATGTGTTCTCAAAACCTTGTACAAACGAAGCAGATGGTCTTAAAATGAATCCTGGGTTCCTGAACAAAGTAATCTAATGTAAATGTTCATATGGGCGTTACCTATAGGTTATTCTGGGGATCAACGCCCCCGCTGCCCGGTCCATGACCAGGCCTCCCG